GCCGGGTGGGCCGGGCAGTTCCCGCTCGCGCCCGCCAGAGCGCGTCTGCCCGGAAACCTGATCCAGGCTGCGGTCGCGGCCCGGTCACGTCCCCAGGACTCGCTGTCTCCTGGCCCCCTGCCCCCCTGACCTGGGATTACCAGGGAGCACCCCTCCCCGAGCGAGACCCCCTCTGTCGCACAAAACCGGGCGCTAGCGGGGCTCGTCCCCGTCTGGCCGCCGCCCGCCCTCCCCGTCCAGTGTCGCCACCTCAAGGGAGACGCCATTGTCACCACTCCGCCAGAAGACCGGACCTCACGCCCACCTCCAGCTGCCGGTTCCTGCTGCTCCTAAGCTGGAACTGTCCTCTGTCCCCGTCTGTAGGCGTCCAGGGTCCTCAGGAAAAAGAAAAAGAGGGACCCGGCAACAGGAGCCCAGAGCCTTCGGTGGCCTTCCTGCCCTTGCCTGCTCTCTGGGCTCCTGGTCCCACCAAGCTACACTGAGCACGAAAAACAAAGTAACTGCGCTGGAGGCAGGAGAGGCAGCGGGAGACGTCAGTGCGAGACCGCGAGGGCCTCTCCGAGTGCGGGTCGGGCCGGGGTCCAGGGCCACAGCCCGCGGTGGCAGGAGCCGCTCCGGGCAGGCCCCCAGAAGGCCTGGGCCACACTGGTACACGACCCCTGGACCTGGAAGACGGTGCCTGACTCTACTTGGGTTCGACCTTGTCGGTTTACAGCTCATCTGAACCTGCTCAGGCCTTCCTGTACAGTGTGCTCACTCTCAGCCCCCTCTGTCCCTCTGTCCCTCTGTCCCTCTCGGGTGCCCAATCCACCTTCAGTCCTCATGGGGAGAGGCAGAGGGTACGTGACTGTCATCAGCACAACGAAGCCACAGTGCCAGATCCTGTTTTGTTTCCCCCTAGTCGGGTTACATTTTCAAGCCATCAGCAGATTCACAGTTGCCAGTGGATGTCAAACTGGAAAATCAGGTGCAATCCTAATGCGACAGCTATGGACTGGGAAGCCGCAGGCGAGTCAGTGACCTTTTCGGAACCCCAACATGCTTGTTGGAATAAAAGGGCAGCGGTGAGCGGTGCGAGTTTTTGGTCTCAGCTCCAGCGGCTCCTACCACCGTCAAACGCCGTGTGGAGCACGGGTGCCCTCCAGCACAAGGCCACATCCTGCTGTGCTCGGGGTGCTTCTGATCAGCGCTCAGAGAGGAGCCAGCATCGTCTTCCTTTCGGTTAACTTCAGACACCTGTAACAAACAATCATGAGGTCAACCACAACCACCACAATCGGGCCCTAGAGGGTTTATCTGTCAACACACTCGGAGCTGTAGAACCTCGGTACGGGGACAGGGGAAAGGCTGGCTGCTTCCTTCATGTTCTTGAATTCCCCTTCAGTTGTCTCTACTGATTTCATTTTATTCCTTCCTCAGCTGTAATACAGAGCTCTTTCTTTCCCCAAGGCAGAGTTTTAAAAGCATTGCCTGAGCGGGTCAAATACCCTGGAAGAGAAGGTTGGCAGGGATGAGCAGGTAGGGGCGCTGAGGAGCCCAGAAGCGCCTGGCTGGCTCCTCTGTCTTCTGTTTGAAGTTGGCTCGAAAGACATGGAATTAGTAGGCAAAGCTGCCTCCTCCTCCTCCTGTTATCTGCAGAGGAGAGATCAGTTCCCTGCTGGCCAGGGCAGTGTCATCGATACAGCTGGTGTCATTGTTACCTTCCACTAACAGATCACTCAACACCTACCAGCCCAGGCAGGGCTGGCCTGAGCATTGCCTGGCTGAGCTGGAGGCTTGGGCCCTCCCATTGTGCCAGAACCCAGGTCAGGCCAAGACACAGGCACTGCTGGGAGGTGGTGCCTGGGGACTCCACAGAAGGACTAGATTGCTCCTGGTGGCTGCTCCCCCTGACAGGGTCCCAGCTGCCTCTTTGGTTCTGGTTGCCTGGCCTCTTGAGCAGAGGCACCGGGAGTGGCCCTGGACTGAAGAACCAGGGGTGAAGGGCGGTCTGCGGCATCCCTCTGGCTCCGCGTTCCCGGCTAGCTGCCCTTCTGATGTGTGCATCCCAGGGGACATCATGCTGCAGCAGATCCTGCACGACATGTCCATCGACCCCGAGCTCCTGGCCGAGCTCAGTGATGTGCAGAAGCACATCCTCTTCTACAAGATGCGAGAGGAGCAGCTGAGGCGCTGGAGGGATCGGGAAGCTTGGGAGGCCCTGGCCCAGGTGGAGGGCCTCAGGCCCCCAAAGATCAAGCGAGGTATGTGTCTGGGAGTCCCCCAGGGGCTGGCTGCCAGTCCCCCAGGAGGTGGAAAACTTAGCAGGGCCAAGCTGGGCTCTTGTTCAAGATGGGCAGTGGTGTGATGGGGGCTGGGGGCTTGAAACCCTTGTCCTGTGGGTGTCTGTCCTGTGAGCCTGGGACTAACAGCTAGGACTGTAGGGCTTCCAGGCTGCAGCAGGGGCTATCCAGGGGCCCCAATGGGGTGGGGAAATGGGGACTTGCTTTGTCTTCTTGTGGAAGGCACTGTTGGGACTCAGAGTGTGCTCAGACGCAGTCGGCAGTTGCATGGGGAGTGAGAGCACACATCCTTTACTCTCACCACTGGCTCTGGGCAAGGGTGTGATGAACACACGTAGTTCTTCTCTCCCTTGCATGCGCGGTACAGCGGTTTTCAGCAAGGGCTGTGCACCGTGCCTCTCCCTCTAGATCCTCATGTGAGAGGAGGCTTTGGGTTGTATCTGGAGCCCCACTGGGCATCTGGAAAGAGCGTGTTAGGGAATGTCCTACACAGTGAGTCACCAGCGCAAAGTGGCAGTAGCAACTGCAGACAAAGTTGTGTGCTAATCAAGCCAGTGGACTGGTGCACCTGTGAATGAAGGCGACTGTTCAGGACCCTTGGGCCGAGAGGAGGCAGGCTGCTGAGGCTTGGCACGGGACTCAAGATCCTGCTGGGGCTGGTGGTGTGTACGGACGCTGCACTCACTCTGCACTTTGCAAAGCTCATTAGCCTTCTCTCTCGTTCACACCCCACAACCCTCCTCGTGGCCTCCGTACTGTTCACCAGAGGGAAGTGCAGATTTGATCTAGTCAAAGTTTTCGATCCAGGACAAAGTCCTGTTTCAGGGCTGGGCATACAGGCCCCTTGGTGATGTGGCTCCTGCCCTCCACTCCAGGCTCAGTGCTGGCCAGTCCCCACTGTGTGCCACAGCCACCGTAGCACCCCTTTGGACGTGCTTGCTCTTTCCTCTGGTCTTTGCACTTGTAGTTCTAACTATTGGGCATGTCCTCCTGCCTTCATCCATCTGACGAACTCCCTCAGGCCTCGCCCTGCTCCTGGAGGCCTTGGGGAGGCTCCTGGCAGAGGGAAGGACTTGATCCTCTGCAGCCACCTAGCGTGTAGGACTCAACCCTGCCCTAGCACTTACCATCCTGTCGTCGTCATTCATTTCTACATGCCTGGCTCTCCCAGTGGACTCAAAGCCGCTGGAGCGTGAGGCACTACTCCGTTATGGCTTCTTCCTTTGGGCCTGGCACAGAGCTGGCAGACAGTGTTAAATCCCCATTTTGAACAAGACACAGCAGGGCCGCGAGGGGAGAGGTTGTGGCAGAGCTGTGGCTTGCTTGCAGGTGGCTAGTGCCAAGGCTGGGGCCTGGCTGTGCTGGCAGCTGCATCACTAGTTGGTGAAAATGACAAGCCCCACCCGGCCCGCCCTGGGGCCTCACATGTCTATATGGTGGCTCTTCTGGGAGGAAGACAGATGCCTGAATATTTAACTGCAAAAATATTTATACAGAGGTTTGTCACATATTGACATCTACATTTTCATGTATAAATTATACATTAAACTCATTTGGATTTCTGGTGGAGTGGAAAAGAGGGGGAAACACGCTGAGGAATCCGCGTGTCCCATGTCAGGAGCCTGTTCAGATCCCAGCTCTTTGCTTCAGTCCTGCCTTTGGAACTTCTGAGGAACTCTGGGGCACTAGCCCCTGCCCGGGAGGCTGAAGAGCTTTTTGCTGGAGGGTCCAGCATGTACAGTGCCTGCTTCATGTACTGGGATCACGATGCAGGTTCGTGACAGCCCTGCACCTTGTGTACGAGCTTTACGTTTACCAGGGGCTTGCCCTGACCTTAGCGCTCCCATGTCTCTGTGGAGCAGCAGGGCAAGCCCCCAGGACTCCGTTTTAGATGAGGAAGCCGAGGCCCACAGAAGTGACGCGATACATCCACAGTCACCCAGATGCTGAGAAATGGAGTCAGGATGCACGTCCCGTGACTGTGGCCTGGCGTCTGGTGACTGATCTTTTCTCCATTCGTTCTCTTCTGAACTTGGGACTCCAGTTAAACGAGTGATCTGTGCACACCTTCGTCCGTTCACCCATTCACTTATCCAACATTACTAAGTGCTGACCTTGGTGAACTGGATGTAGCTTTGGCCCTTGAGACCACGAGTAGACAGATCTTAAGGATCACAGCCAGCTCGACAGCCCAGAGCAAGGCTTGGTACAAAGCCGCTGTGTGGTGGCTCAGGGCAGGAGCACGGGGACAGACCCCATTGACTGCATCTTTTCTCTTCCTTCCCTTCACAGGCATCCCCCTTCCAAGTCCCCTTCCCCCCATTTGTCCTGAAGGAAGCCTCTGCTGTGCCCCTTTTGAGCCTTGTGCCCGCCCTTGGGAATCCCTGAGCACAGCTTTGTTCAGTCCTTTAGTCTGCAATGACTTTGTGCTGCCTCCTTCCCATCGTCCCCAGTCCTGCTTGTCCTCATGGCCTCTCCTTCCACACTCTCTTTCCTGGGAACATTTCCCAGCTCCCAGCCAGCCTGACCTTGCCATCCCTAGCACTCAGGTAACACTCCCCTTGACACTATGGCAGGGTAGCACAAGGTGTGCCCTGTCCCTGAGGACCTGGCAGCCCTGGAGTTGTGCCTGGTAAGGGTGGGAGTAAACACTGGTGACATGGCTCATTCTAGTTTACAGGACGTTAGGGAACTTATCAATCTTGGGACACACATTTGGGACCTGCAGACATAAGCTGGGGTGAGGCTTAGAGGTGTGCTGAGAAAGAAAGGAAGGGCAGGAGGCGGGGTGTGGCTGGGCACACGTCGCTGCCTGATGGTGTGGCATTTCTGTTTTGTGTTCACTTTATACTTTGGCGACAGTCTTCTGGTGTTCTACACTGTTGTGGAAGATACAGACTCTCAGCGCGGTAGTTTTCGCATCTACCATCATGTAGAAGGTTTTGTCACATTTCTGACAGTCTGTTGTCCAGTGGGAATGTGCGCTGCTGTAGAGATTCTGGAAAGCTGCATTAGAATGTTACGTTCCTGGGAGATGCAAGCCAAGCCCCTCCAACATTCCCATTGCTGTGCAGTTGCTTTCCTGCCTTGTCCCCTTGGCCACCCTGAGAACTCTCACGTCATACGTGTGATCCCTCTGTGCTTGCTCAGTTATCCCACTTTCTCAAGGCTGGAGCTGGGTGTGGCCTGGGGACAGACTCAGGACACGTTTTCACACTGCTGTCGCGACCCAGGAAGCCTCCCCACCTGGACCTGTGGGTTCTGGCCTGAAGGACCGTTTCCAGCAGTGTTCAAGCCGCTCCTCCATGACCAGCTCCTCATCCGTCTGGACGCCTCTGCCTGGGAGACTTTGCCGGCCCTCCTCCTGGCTTTCTCATCTGTGAGCCAAGCCTGCATGCTCAGGGGCTGGAGATTGTCCTCTGGTTTCTCAGCACACGTTCGTCCCGTGCCGGCTCCCCAGCCTGCCCCATTCCAGCCTGTGGAGTGCCCGCAGCCTCCGCTCCTGCATGCCCCACGGCTGGGCTGTGGACGAGGTCCCACCTTCTAGGCCACCTGTCTCTGCCAGCTCAGCCTGTGCAGCTCTCAGATGCGGCCCTGGCCTGGGTCCCCAGGGAGTCGCCCTCCTCAGCATCCTCTCTGGGTCTCAGCAGTAAGTCACTCCTGCTGCCCTGATGGAAGCTTTGGCACAGTGCTTCTCCCTGGGGGTCTGCGTTCTCTTGTTTCCTGGGAAACCAGTAGCTATGGGAACCTCGCCTGCTGGGCCCGGGCACTTCTCACCTCTCTGTTCCTTTTCCAGCCATGGAGGTTCTGACCTTGAACGCCAGCCCTGCCTGGAGCCCTGCACTTGCCTGCAGGCATTCCTGTGTGGCCATGTGCTCCGTGGCCCCCTGCCCCACGCTCATCCCTACACCCCTTCTGCACACAGCAGTCAAAGACCCTTTACATGCGAGTTAGCTCGTGCACCACCTGCCTTGGTGGCTCCTATGGTACCCACAGTAAGATATGAATGGATTTTGCTGGCATCTGTCCACCTCTGCAACCTAACTGTTACCCATTTGTGTCCCTCTGCGTGGAATGCTCCTGTCCCAGATCCTCATGAGGCTGATTCCTTCTCTGAATTCATTTCTCAGTTCAATGCTGAGTTCTCCACCGACCAGTCACTCTCCGTGAGCCATGTCCCACTCTCTCTCTTGTGACACCCTGCCTGCCTTTCCTCCGGGCACTTACCGCATCCGAAAGTATCTTCTTTTTGTTTTTAAGTTGTGGTAAAATGCATGTAACAGAAAATTTACCATTTTAACCATTTTAAAGTGTGCAATTCAGTGACATTTAGTATATTCAAAATATTGTTCAACCACTACTACTGCCTAGTTCCAGAACATTTTCCTAACCCCAAAAGGCCACCCTGTACCCCTGAATGGTAATTGCCTGTCCCCTCCCTCCATCAGCCCCTTTCAACCACTGATCTGCCCCCCACTTCCTCCTCCTCTCTTTGTATCTGTTTGCTTGTTTATAGTCTGTCTTCTCCATTAGCCTGAACATGCCATGAGACCAGGGGTGTCACCTGCTTCGTTCCTGTTTCTGTCCCAGCATCTAGAACAAGGCCCGGGCTAGGGTTGGGGGTATGCGGGTAAGTGGCGGCTAAGACCCTTGCATACGTGGCGTCAGAGGGACTTGACTGAAGAGACAGGCATGAGAAGATTCCTTTTTTGAGTGAAAGGTGACATGCTGCACAACGTGACCTCTCCCCTAGACCTCAAAAATCTTCGGTAGCAGCGTAAACAGTCACAACGTACACGCGCTGTGGCATTGGCTGTAGAAGCCGATATGCAATGCTGTGATGTGTATGTAATTACAGTTCTGTCACCTTCTCGCTCATAACTCATTTCACTTTCATTTCTCATGTTTGGATCCTGACTTAGATTTTAGCTTGACCAGTGCTGCTTTTTTCTTTGCATTTG